AAAAAAAAAAGTATCGCTTATGAATCAAGGGATTCTACAGCCTAGAAAACTCTGCTGCTTTACAGTTATACTCAATTAGTATGTCCCTTCTAGTCATAATCCTTTATGGAATATATATAATTTTGGGTTTCATATGCTTGTAGTTATAATCCTATTCTGGAGGGCATTATCTGCTAAAGTATAGGATGAGATTAAGATCTGACCTTAGTAGAGGGTGTGAATTGGGACAATTTTTTAAAAATGGTTATCTTGATTACTGTTACTTGTAATGGCTGTAAAGAATATGCTAAAGCTGAGAGACAAGCTGCTTCTGGATTGACCTGGGTCAAAGCCTGGGTTACTAAGATGTTGGAGTCCAATGCCTATTAGAACCATCCTAGCAGAGGTCCCAGGTCATATGTGTATTAAAAAGATAACAGTCCAGGGTGGAGAATAGATTATTGTATTTGGGGAAAGGGTTCTATGTTGATTACACCACTGATACTCAAGTTAACTCCCAGCAAAGGACCTTTCCCTTCATGGGTCTGGTGAGGTGTGGGAAGACACTGATAGGAATCACCTGTCACTGTGAACTGTATTCCCTGCAATGCTATCCTGCTGGGTTTAAAATGAGCCACTGAGAAGCAGGGGGTATGACCTCATCACCGGCAAGCTGGGAGTGGAGTGTGTCCTCGGGACTCAGCATCTGGCTTACCCCTGTCTGGCCTTCAGATTTGGGACTGAACAGCACCCACCACCACCAGAGACATCCCTTTAAGCTTTTCATTTGAGTTTCTGTGGGAAGGTGCAATGATTCACAGAACCAAGAAATGTGAGGGAATACCTTCAAGGGAGGGGTATGTGTGAGGGGGGTGGGGAGGTAGGTTGGAGTAGGCTAGCATCTTGGAAGAGTTGGATATTTGGGACGTCTTTGGTCTCCAAGCCTTAGGTACTAGTTTGATATTCTTACAAAAGAAATAGTTACCACAAACAGATTTCCTTGAAGGCTCATCTCTCATTAAAAAAAAAAAATGTGTGCAAGACTTCTCCAGAATAGATGCCTGGTTGTTTAATAAAAATGACATTCCAAGAGGGAGGGGAAAAATGAGGAGCAATACCAAGAGCTTAAGTTGAGAAAAAACGTTTTGAGAACAATGGCAACGGAGTACAAATGTGCTCGACACAAAGGACGTGTGGGTTGTGATAAAAGCTGCACGAGCCCCCAATAAAATGATTTTAAAAAAAAATGACATTCCAGAAAGACAGGGATGCTGACTGGGTAGCCATCTTTGAAGCAGCAAACACTGCCGCTGGGCCCTCCCCACCTTGGCCAGAGCCATTGGAAAGCTGATACAGGCACATCCTCCATCACACGTCTGTCCCCAGTGCATGTGCTGAAAAGCTGAGAAGGCTGCCAGTCAGGTGAATATGAGCGTTTATTGACTGAGTGATCTATGTGACCACCATCCAGTTCTAATCTGTTGTCTAATCAAATCAGAAACTTTGAGCTTTCAATGGCATTGACTTTGCAAAAAGTTCTCCCACATTACGTGGAAGAACTGTTTTCTTTCCAATGCTCAGACACTATATGAATAAAATCACTTTAATGAATCCTTTAATTAATTCCTTCAAATACACATTGTCCACAACCTGTCGAGAAGACTTGACAGCATGGCCAGTCCAGTGTCTGCAGGCCATGGAGCCTCTGCTCGGGAACCTTCGCCCTCAGAAGTCTTCCTCAGCGTGTCTGCTGCAGGACTGCTTCAGCTGCTTCAGCCGCTCCAGCGTCTCGGACACGGTCCGCTCTCCGTGCACCTTGTTGTCCCTCGTGCGGATGTTCACGGTGCCACTAGTTTTCTCCTTTTCCCCAACAACTGCAACACAAGAGACACTGGGCTTTGAGACCGGATCTGAAGGCCCGGAAGGCAGCGCCCTGGAGATCTCAGCAGACCACCATCAACTTTCAGTGACCTGACTCTTTGCAAACCCACGCCCCTGTGCAATTTTGCTCTACGATGGCCGTGTTTGTTGACTGAAAGCTGTCAATTGTATGAAGAAGCATGAGGTGGAGGGGAGGCGAATTTTAAACACACCTTTAAGGATTATTCTATTCACACCTATATATTCCTTTGTTATGTAGCAAACAGGACCGGAAGGAATGAAACCAGCTCGGCTTTTCTGATTGTAGTGGATCTTCATAAGGCTTGGGAGCTCTGTTTGTTTCTTTGGGTCAGTTTCCTTTCTTACCCAGAATGAAGTTATACTGTGCCAACTGTGCGTGTCTGATCTTCTTGTTCAGCGTGCAGCCTGGATCCAGATCCACATCTGCCATGATGTTAGCATCATGGAATTGCAGTCTTACCTATCAGGACAGAGATAGGGAATTTTTCAGACCTAAAACCAGAACTACTCGTATATTTTGATCTTACATGGTTTTACTTAACAAAGAATTTGGAAAATCATGCACACCAACATCATATATGGAAACATAAGTTAGTAACTTAGGACTTAAGTCTTTAAAAATCATTCATTCTTTAAAATTCTTTTAAAAATCAAAACAACTCATTTTGCTCTTGAGAGAAATGCTTTAGAAAAACCTCTAAAAAATCATAACTTAATCAGTTAAATTTAATCTGCTCTCCTAAGTCATATTATTATTAGGTGTGGTTCAGTTGACTCCAACTGCAAGCGCTCTCAGGTATAGCAAAATAAAACACTGTCCAGCCTTGGGCCAGCCTGGCGATCATCATCATGTTTGAGCCCATTGTTGTAGCCAGTGTGCCAGTCCATCTTGATAGTCTTCCTCATTGGGGCTCACCTTCTCCAGCATTCGTCCCAAATAGTAGCATGCCCAAGGAGCCCTAGTGCTGCTGTTGGGTAAGCTCCGGACAACTCACCTCAATCAGCAGTTCAATCCCACCAGTCACTCCACAAAGAGAAGGCTGTTTGTTCCTATTAAGATTCACAGGCTTGGAAATACTACATGGAGTCACTGAGAGCAGGAGTCAACTCCATGCTCTCAGTTTGGGTGTTTTGGGGGACAGTCTGTCCAGTGTAGGACAAAGTATGCCATCCTTGCATGTAAGGAGCATTCTGGCTACAATTCTTCCAACATAGATTTGTCAGCCTGGCAATCCAGGGTGTAGTCAATCATCTTTGCCAACACCATAATTCAAATGCATCAACTCTTCTTTGGTCTTCCTTGTTCATTGTTCTTAAATCATACAGATTACAATGGGGAAAAACAACCCTTTTGCAAGCACATTTCAAGTTCCTCACAGTTTCCAGAAAATAAACTGGTTAGCTTCCATATAGCATCCAATAAATACCCAAGAATATGTTATTTCTTTATCCCTCAAATGGGGAATTATTTGGCCAGTGGTAAGATTGGGACCCACCCTATGCTGCCATTTATGAATACAATCTTTTAAAAATAAAATGCTGAAAATACAAACAATCAGCTAAAATCAGTGCCACAGTTTCATTTACATTTCAGGAGCATATAAGCTGTCTCACAGAATTGTATCTTAACATGAATTGTGTCTTTTACTGCACCTCGCATATACCAATGATTTAATTCACAAAACCTTTATTCTAAAAGAATAATTTGAAAGGAAATAACGGGCTTACAAGAGATTCATTCTTGGAGATACGTGCATTTAAAGTTCCTGCAGAGTAGAACAACCAATCACCCCACCACCACCTGGCCTACGATAGAGAAATGCAGGATCGTCTGCAGGTTCAGATTAGAATGCAAACAGCAGCATGGACCTGTATCACAAGTGGCCTGCTTTATCAAGAGTATGTGGCTTAAGATCGCTGTCTGCCACAGATAACAAGTGTAAGGAAAAGTCATGTTTAAAGGTTACCTTTTGGGCATATTCGTCACAGGTGGGCCCCACAGGAACGACCATGACCTGGCGAGGAGACAGCCAGAAGGGCCTGCAGGGAAAAGTACTTCATGTGACGTGGAGCATTTCCCCGTTCAGGACAGCGCATTTCTCAGTTCACTGTTCATCTCTTCCTGAGGCACGAAAGGGCTGCTTTTAAAAACTTGGGCTCCCGGCCCGACCGCAATCTCAGCAAGAGGAATGGGGAGAAAACTCAGAAGCAGAAAACAACCCTAAATAACAAAACTCCGGAGCCGTGATCTCCTTGCCACGCAGAGTCAAAGCACACAGTGGTGGGGTTGATGCCTCGCAGAGAGCAAAACGCCACATCCTGGAGAGAGGAGGTGCTGGAAACACCAACATCAACAAAGTATTCATTATACTGCGACTACGTAGCCCAGTACGTAGCCCTTACTCCTCTTGGAAGGAAGAATTCCATTTTCAGGATTCAGAACGTTGTAACTAATAAAATATTGACAGCATTTAGAAACAGATGCTTTAACTAGTTATGAAGATGATCCCTTCTGTACATGTCTCATTAGAGTGATCCAGGTGCACTGTGTCAAACCATCCCAACGACGGGACGCCAGGCCACATTTCTCTCCATCGCCCTTCCACTTACCTTCGCTTTGTTGCCACAGGGAAGGGGCTGGCATAGGTTGTGAATTCAGACCGATTGAGACTTTTCCTTCTACCACAGGCTTGGCACAGGATCCCTTAATAAGCAGGTGCCAGGCAGATGTGACCATATTTCATGAAATAGAACTGAAGTCGTCTTTTGAAGAAGCACCCGTCAAAGGGTGCAGCTAACCAGATGAAGTGGAAATACCCGAGGGCAATGGACAAGGCAAGTGACTGAACTGCTCCATAATTAAGGTCACTGGCCATCTACACGGCGGATGTTGTATAAGCTTGGGATGTTCTCCATTGCTTCTATAAATTGTGTGGCTTACAACGTGAACCGAAGTCCAGTGCTCCTATCAAACACACAGACTCCTGGAATCTAGTCATAAAAAATTGACCAATTTGGAGCCTGTATTTTCAATGGAAAAGAATGCTTGGCTTCTACCAGTATAATCGGTAGAAGAAACAAGGTAAAAGCTGACAGCCCCCACCCCCCGTTCCCAGACAGAAAGAGAAGAGCCACAAACGACTACAAACAAAGCTGAGTGAATTTCAGAAAGAAGCTAAACATTTTTAAAGCTCAAATATTTGGGTTTTGGATTGGATTCCTTGCTCGTAGGGAGCAATCAGAATAAAATTAATTACTTAGACATGAGCAATCAGAATCACCCTCCCTTTCCGTCACCTAACTACACTGGAGAGTGGACATTTCTTCTAGCCAGCGTCCACCATCCTGACCAAACAGAACGGCGGCCGAGTTTACCATTTGCCTCCGTAGTTCTCCGTGAGGATGGCAATCATTCTCTCCACGGAGCCCAGGATGGCTCGGTGAATGATCACGGGCCTTTTCTTGTCATCGCCATCATGGCTAAAAAGAAGACCAAAAAAAAAAAAATCCCTTTAGTATACATTTTTCCCTCCACATCTGTATCCCAGGAGAAACATATTCGGAGGCGACCCAGAAACTAACCTCACAAATGTAAGATTAAATCTGATGGGCAACTGAAAATCCAGCTGGATCGTTGCACACTGGTGGTACCGGCCAATGGCATCTTTAATTTGGATGTCGATCTAAGAAACACAGATGAGGTTATTTTTAGATGTTGTCCTTCACAACAGTGAGGTTAAGGCTGGGGTTTGTTTTTGTTTTTAAAAATTTTTTAAACAATAAATTAATCTCATATTAACCAAACAATGCCCATCTCCTAAGTCCAAGACCGACTGCAATGTCCATTGGAACTGACCTTTGGGCCATAAAATGCTCCATCTCCGGGGTTCAATTCCCACCTTTCACCAAATTCATTCAGGCTATTTTCCAGTTGCTAAAAAGAAAATAAAATTATGTCTGTTTTTGTTCATCTACAAGAGTCCTTCTTCCAGCGTGAATTGTGATTTAAAATAAAGCTTTGATATATCACTACTGTTTTGTAATTTTGTTCACTTTCCTAGACCATATTTTTATACAAATAACGTGCAGTTTTGCCAGCAACACCCCCCACCCCATCTCACATTATAATTGTTTCCTAAGCACAATTTGTGCATTCTCTCGGTGTACATACTATTTATGTGGGTGGGGTGTTTACATAAACCTATCCCCTGTTAAAGCCACGATTTCATCAGAGGAAAAGGCTCAGCCACTTCAAAATACATCATCACAAGTTAAAAAAAAATTGCTTATTCCAACCTCAGATGCATTTATAATTTCAATGTGCTTTCATGTGTGTACAAAGGCCTGGCTTTCTCACAGCTCGGAGCAAGTCGATTTCTTGGCACGCACTGAACAAGACCACTTACTTTCTCAGCTTGGTTCCAGATTTCAATATCTCCCAGGAATTTTTCTGGACGAGTGGAAAGGTTGAGTTTAAAAGAAAATCCAAATACAGTATACACGGTGCGTAGAAAATCCAAGCAACCTTTGATTTCGTCCTCGATCTTTGAACAAAAAGAAGAAACGGTGGTTATTTTCCTTGCTCTTGGCACCGCTTGCAGAGCATCGCGGGCACAGGGGCTCGGACCTGCTCCATGGCACAGAAGATGTGGGCGTCGTCCTGTTGGAACCTGCGCACGCGGGTGAGCCCCGTGAGTGCCCCCGACAGCTCGTTCCTGTGAAGCACCCCGAAATCAGCGAGCCGCAGAGGCAACTCTCTCCAGGACCGTGGCCGGTGATCGAACATCAGGCTGCAGAAAGAAGAAAAGCCACTGAGGTGTAACTTGACCAAACTCACACTGCCTCTCCGCTCTTGTAGTCAGTCACACAAAGAGCGCCACAAAGTCAACGATGCTGAGCACGCTTTTTCAAATTCTGGCGTTTAGAAAACCAGTTAAGCAGGGACATGAATCAAGCAGCAAATAAATGTTAGTATAACCAACTATAGCTATGAGAAAATAAAATGTTCATGCCCAGAGCCTTGTAAGTCCTTACATTCCATGCTTACAGCAGTTTAAGGACTGCCTGTAAGGCTCACAGTTAGAAACCTAGGGGAATTTGAGAAAATTAAGAAAGGATTCGGCTGGGTCCTGAGCCACTCCTCACGGAGGTTCTCCGGTCAGCGGCGCCTGCTCTGCACTGAATCCTGGCACGGGGCTCTGGACACTGTGCTGGGGGCTGGCCTGAGCCACCTGCCTCACAGCCCTCCTTCGTCCTCCCCCAAGTGGTATTGCAAACCAGCTTTCAAGGATGGACACTGGAGCAGTGGCAAGGCAAACACTTCCAAAGATATTCATCCATTAATAGCTAACACACCTACTAACACCGTCATGATGAAGACGCTTATTTAAAACAAGAGTTTCTGAAGCCCACCCCCCACCTTACATTCTGCCTCGTTTGCAGCTCTAGCACCATCTGGAATACCTATAGATCTATGGATCCAATTGGGCATGGAAGATACTGCATGATCACAATTGGGTAGCAGTTAAATATTATTCAATGTAAATAGTACAGATTTTGTTTTTAACAAAACTCTTCCACAGGCTGGAAAGCGATCTAGAGCTAATGGCAGCCCAGGAAAATCTTCCATAGAAACTGAAAGCTGCTGAGTACCAGTGTCCCGGGCAGTTCATGGGCTTCAGGGCAAAGGTTTCCTTCTCCACCTCAAAGGAGAACATGTTCTCGCTGTAGTGCTGCCAGTGGCCCGAGGTCACCCAGAGTCGGCTGTTGTAGATGTTCGGGCTGACCACCTCCTGGAACCCACGCTTCCTGTATTCACTCTGTAATACAACAAACAGAACTTGTGGATAGGGAGAAAAAGTATTTCATACGTAAAAATGTGAAATGTAGTTTTATACTATCAAGCTCAGATAAACATATACTACAACTTAGGATACTCTTATTTGTTGAAAAGGGAATTCCTGCCTATGTATATAAATGCCCCCCTCCCCCAAACCCACCGCCCTCAAGTTAATTCTGAATCACGGTAACCGCATCGGGTTTCTGAGGCTGAGACTCTTTACAGGTGCAGATAGGCTCACCTGTCTCCCACCCACTACTGTGGCTCCTTTGCACATGTCCATCAAAAAGACCAGGCCCACTGCCACAGAGCTGGTTCTGACTCAGAGCCCCTCTGCAGGGTTCCCCAGACGACGGATCATTACAGGCGTAGACAAAACTCATCTTTCTCCTGCAGTGCGCCTAGCAGGCTCGAACTGCCAACGTTGAGGTCAGCAGTCCAACGCCTAACCCCCAGGGCCACGAGGGATCCATTCTGTACATAGGGCTTGTAAGGATGCTAATGGTAACACTAGTAATATATGAAAATTGAGGATTACCCCTTGCAGAGGGTCTCAGGGAGGAGACGAGCCAGTCAGGGTGCGATGTAGCAACGATAAAAAATACAGCTTTCCTCTAGTTCCTAAATGTTTCCTCCCCACTCCACTACCATGACTCGAATTCTACCTTGCAAGTCTGGCTAGTACAGACAGGAACTGGAAATACAGGGAATCCAGGGCGGATGAGCCCTACAGGACCAGTGGTGTGAGTGGCGAAACAGGGAGGGTAGAGGGAGAGTGGGTAGGAAAGAGGGAACCGATTACAAGGAACTATATGTGACCTCCTCCCTGGGGGACGGACAACAGAAAAGTGGGTGAAGGGAGATGTTGGACAGGGCAAGATATGACAAAGTAACAATTTATAAATTATCAAGGGCTCATGAGGGAGGGGGGAGTGGGGAGGGAGGGGATAAATGAGGACCTAATGCCGGGGGCTTAAGTGGCGAGGAAATGTTTTGAGAATGATGAGGGCAATGAATGCACAAATGCGCTTTACACAATTGATGTGTGTGTGGATTGTGATAAGAGTCGTATGAGCCCCTAATAAAATGATTTAAAAAAAAAGAAAACTGAAGATTACATCAACTTCCATCAATTAAAGAAAGGGTCTATATAGCAGTAGAAAAGGGCAAACTGGATGTTCTTGTATCTGAAAAAAGTCACAAGGCAGATAAATATACGAGACTCCATATATGTAAATGTGAAACATAAATAATGTAAGGACACACACACACACACACACACACATATATATATCTATATGAACATGTAAAACAACATGGACACCAGGGCCCCTCTACTATACCCCTTAGGGTCGTCAGCATCGACATGGTGGCAGTGAGTTGGGTTTGGGTTTTTTATACATGACTCCACAGTTGTGTTAAAGGAGTGAAAGATGACACATACAGGGGAGAATCCCCCTGGGCACCCTTTCCTAGAAGAAACTGTTGTTATGAAGTTGGACCTTTGTGCCCATGTTGTTTTATATGGTCCTCTTTCTCCCTTGGAGTGGCTAGTGGTTTCAAACGGCTGATCTTACAGTGAACAACCCAATGTGTACCAGCTACATTCGGAATCAAGCACAGCACAATGTGAAGAAATCTCTGTTACATCTGCATGGTCAGCATACAGATATGTTTGAAACACTTTATGAGGCAGCAGATTTATATTTTAAATGGTCTTATGCTTCTTTCAAATATAAGATTATCCTTCCTTTTTGCAGTCTGTATTACTAAAATCATCCTTTAGCCTAAATCTCTGGAAGGAAGCAATGAGGATGGCTTACCCTGATATAGTCAGTAAGTGTATTATAAATGTAGGCTCCCTTTGGCAGGAAAAAGCAACTTCCAGGGCTGAGTTCATGGAAGAAATAAAGTTCTTGGTCCTGGTGGGTGGGAAGAAGAGAAAAAAGGGATGTGTATATTTCTCTAAGACATCAATATAAAAGTCAATATTCAAAACATGAATTTTTTGAAGAGCCCCTGGTATAATGCCTTCCTATCACCCCGTCTGGTTTCCTTACCCATCAACTCCCCATGGAATGCCCAAAGACCTCAGCATTTACTTTGTTATTACTGGAATTCACTTGAGGCAACCAAGGGGGGCTGGCAGTAGATGCTGTCTCTTGGTGTAGTTTCACAGTCTAATCGTTGAGGACTCTTGTTACAAAATGAACATTAGAAGACGTGTTGCTATCATTAAAATGATCTCTGATTAGAGGACATGGCACAAAGGGGCTACAGAGACAACTAAGACCACAGAATCTAGCAGTGACTAACGACTGGATCAACTTGGGCAACAAGTAGAGTAACTCTCTGGGGACTCCCTTATCTTTAAAATGAGTCCATGAAGTTGAGTGATTTCCAAAGTATCTCACAGCTACATAAAATGCTGCTACTTTGTTTTTACAGAAAACAGTAGTTTGTCTGTACTTGTTCTTGATAAAAGTAGTTAAAATACATTTCTAGAACCCTCTAGAAAGAAAATGTGTACAAGTAGTTAATACTTCACACTGAAACTCTGCACCAATACTTGAAACTTTAGCATCTCTTCAAAAGGCGTCTCTACACCTTTAGACTATACAATTCCCAGGAATTGTTACAGCTAAATTTCAAACTACCAACGAAATAACGAAAATGGCTCTTTAACACACCCTCCCGATTTTCCTGTGATCGCGGTTCTTCGCTTCCTCTTGGAACTTCTCCCATTCTCTCAACATTTTCGGATCTGGGAATGAAATCCCATAGATTCGCTGGAGAGTTTCCATATCTGCTTTGCCTTCCCAATATGTGGAGGAATTCTAAAAACAAAGAGGAGTCACAGAACAACATTCAAAGTTGGAAATACCTCACACGTGGATTGGATGCCACGTCTCAGTGGCACCGTATGGGTCACGTTCACACTTGTAACAGGGAACATGACAAGCAGTGCACCGAGTTAGCCTCCCGCTGGAGTAGCCTGCGCTCCTCCCAGAGCAAGAAGCTGGCTCTTCCTTTGCTCACAAATGCCCACCCTGAGCTCTCCTCAAACCACAGCTCCGCGAACATTAACCACTGACTGCAAGGTGAGCCCGCACAAAATGATTAAGCAAACTGAAAAACGCGTCAGTAAATAATGACGTTCATGATTTAAAGTACCCTGTAGGAACCACCCATAGAATATTTATGGACTAGCACACAATCGACAGAATTCATCTGGTTAAAGACACCTCTAGGGCAATGACTTCGACAACGCATCGCCACTGAGTGGATTCTGACCCATAATCACAGTTATGCTCTAGAGGGCAGAGTCTAACTGCTCCCCAGGCTCCCGAGGCTGTGCATCTTCATGGGAGCAGCACCTGCTTCTCCCAGAGGGCCGGTGGCCTCACAGGGCTGACCTTCTAAAAGCACCAGGCCACCAGGGCTCCTCCATCAGCATGTGCGACAAGGGGGGAGGCTCAAGCACGGAGCTCAGTCTCAAAGCAGTGAGAGCCTCAGTGGCCCCTGCTTGCCTCAGTTTGTGAAGCCCCCAGCCTCCACTGCCATGTGCTCCAGCAAGGACTGTGGAGCCATGCCTTGAGGTAATCTGGGGTTAAAGAAAAAGTAAGAAATCTAGCGCCTACAGTTAGAATCTGAGAGAAAACCATTCGTCCTTATAGATGCCAAAGGAAACCACTGAGAAAAATGGTTGAAAAGGAAAACCAGCACAAGTTTACAGACATATCTATCCTAGACCATTCTGTACCGCACAGTTGGTGAGGGGATCACTTACTTTGTGTATTTTCAATGTCTTAATCTTGCCAGTATGCCTGACATGTGGACCCCGGCAGAGATCTATCAGAGGGCCGCACCTGAGGAGACAATGAAAGAACGTCAACGCAGACTCTCAGGAGCGTGTGCATGGCAGTGGCATTTCGTGGCATGGGCGAGTCTCACCTGTACACTGTGGTGGTTGGAGTAGTCACTTTTTCATTCAGTATCCGGCATTTGAACTTGTTATACTGAAAACATTAAAAAATGATCTTTTCAAAAGGTTTCATTTCTAAGTAATGCAACTAAAATAAAATTTATGTTCATCTAGCACAGTGGCTCTCAACCTTTCTAATGCCGGACACTTTCATACAGGTCCTCAGGTGGTGGTGACCGCCAACCAGAACATTATTTTCGTTGCTCCTTCATCACTGTAATTTTGCTGCTGTTGTGAATCGTAATGTAAATATCTGACATCCAGGATGTATTTTCATTGTGACAAATTGAACATGATTAAACATAATTAAAGCATAATGATTAATCACAAAACAATATGTAATTACTGTATAAACTTGAGTATATGCCAAGTTTTCTCAGCACTTTTTTTTTTTAATCCTTTTACTGGGGGTTCATACAACTCTTATCACAATCCATACATACATCAATTGTGTAAAGCACATTTCTACATTCATTGCCCTCATTATTCTCAAACCATTTGCTTTCCACTTAAGCCCCTGACATCAGCTCATTTTCCCCCTCCATTCCCGCTCCCCCGTCCCTCATGAACCCTAGATAATTTACAAATTATTATTTTTTCATATCTTACACTGTCCGACGTCTCCCTTCACCCATTTCTCTGTTGTCCATCCCCCAGGAAGGAAGCTATATGTAGATCCTTGTAATCGGTTCCCCCTTTCCACCCCACCCTCTCTCACTCTCACCACTGGTCCTGAAGGGATCATCTGCCCTGGATTCCCTGTGTTTCCAGTTCCTATCTATATCAGTGTACATACTCTGGTCTAGCCAGATTTGTAAGGTAGAATTGGGATCATGATAGTGTGGGGAGGAAGCATTTAAGAACTAGAGGAAAGTTGAATGTTTCATTGTTGCTACCCTGCACCCTGACTGGCTCGTCTCCTCCCCAGGACCCTTCAGTAAGGGCATGTCCAATTTCAGCACGTTTTTATGCTGAAAAAGCCCCCTGGTTTTTTGTGGCAAAATTAGGTGCCTCGGCTTATACTAAAGTATATACGGTATACATTGTGAAATATTTATGTGTTTTCCAATGGTCTTAGGCGACCCCTATGAAAGGGGTTGCAACCCACAGGTTGAGAACCGCTGACCTAACACATCTTATCAAAATAAACAGTTTCATTATTTCACACACTAAAAAATGTGGCCACCTTGTTAAATGAACAGAGCAGACTTTGAGTTGGACACAGCAAACCCCAGTGGTTTCCCTTCAAGTAACATAATGAATGATACAAAAGTGGAGGGAGGGGGTGTGTTGTACTTTAATTACCTTAAACATTTCCAGCAAAGTTTCTTTCGTGACTTCCAGTCTTTCAAAAGCTTGTTTTTCCTTAATGATTTTCTTACATAAAGCCTCCAAGGAGGAAAAGTCATTGCTGGACACACACCTGAAGGGGCAGAGAGTACGAGGTCTTTGAGTCCATCCTAAGCACTGCAGCTTGAGGAATGTTCTTTACAATACGCTGAGGGTTCTAGTAGAACAAAACTAGGCTTCTTTCCATAATAGATTTGTCTTAAACTAAACTTTTGATAAGTTACTTTCATGTTTTAGGTTGCCTCTACCTTGGCCATCATGGAAACCTTTCCCACGGTGACCCTGCACCAGCAAAGACAAGGAGATGCAATTAATTTCCCAAAATATCTTATCCAAAAACACACAAGCCTGGCCACTGAGTCAATTCCGACTCAGAATGACCCTGCAGGGCAGAGCAGACCTGATCCCTTGGCTTGCCAAGCCCGTAAATCTTGAGGCGATCGGCAGGAAGGGAAGCTCATCTTGTTCCTGGGGAGCGGCTGTTGGCCGACTCGTTGCCCTCTGGGTCACCAGACGCAGCCTAATCCAGACTTGATTTCCTCTGTCCCGTTACATTAACTCACCCTTCCTCCAGGTACATGTCGTAGTAGAATCCATTCTCTATGGGCGGGCCGTAGCACAAGCATCCACCATAGACCCTCTCCATCGCCTCGCCCATTATGTGAGCACTGGAGTGCCAGTACACCTGAAAGCCAACAACAACAAGGCGGTTTCCATCTGGGCACGGCAGCTACACACGCACACGGTCATCAGAAAGTGACCGGCAAAAACTATCACGAAAACCTAGATATACAAATGTATAAACTAGGTGTGGTTCTACTCAAAGTCAAAATAATGTTTTAAAGTCCTAATGTGTAAATTGCTTTTGTATCTTACACATAGATGGGTTAGTGTTTCCAGACCAATTACATTTTGGGTTGACGATGAAAAAGGGTGGACAGTGCCATCACTTGGCCATGGAACATACCTAAAGACATCTATTTTCCCAATAGGGGCTGACAACAATTAAGGAGGCACGGCTTGATCACAACACAAGTATAAAACACCAGGACAAACAGTCACTAAAATCAAATGGCAGTACTTGGCTTACTCAGAATATACCTCTAGGGATGCTTTATGATTTATTTCTAAAGTCCAAGCTTGTTAACTTTAGAATACCTTTGGAAACCTGATTCAACTGTATAAACAGACTAACTCCAATGAGATACTTTCTTTCCCATGTATGTGGCACAGCATCATGGACAAGCCAGCTTTCACCTCTTAACTTTGTGGAGAGGCAGCCGCAAAGCATCCGTTGTGTAATAATGGGATGGACAAGGTGGCCAATGAAGCTGCATCTGAAACTCAATGGGCCACAAATAAAAACTTACCGCTTGGGCTTCTTCATCCTCAAACTTGAGAAGCTCTATGGTACAATCTTCTTCCAGAGGGCGGTCAAGGTCCCACACAACTTTATTCACTTTCGCGATGACGGTGTTGTCGGCCAGGCCTTGACTTTAAACACGAGCACATGCAGAGAAAAACATGAGATTCTAAGCAAGAAGGAGCACACGGGAGTCCAGGCACAGGACGATAAAACCAACACTGCCAATATCCTCTGGGAAGCATTAGCTACAGCATTGGAAAAAGCAGAAAACTCTCCCTAAATTCAGCAGGAATGGTAAAAAGATCCTAAAAACCCACAACACTAACATTTGGCATTTAATGTTTCTTATTTAAGCAAACAAGGCAACTCTGATAAAACAGGCAGTTACAATTTCTAGC